ACGGTGCCCTGAATCAATAGGAAGGTTTCTACTGATATGGGTAAACTTCTGCTCTGAGGTGCAGAATACAATGTACCGTTTCTGTACTCTGTATCTTTCCAGTTTTGGTACTGTATCTGCTTTTAATTGTCAGCCACTGGTTAGGAGTGTTTGCAAGGGCATAGGATGAGCATCAGTCACATTATTGATAAGTACATTTATTTAACAGCTCATTACCAGAGATTTTGCTGCTTAAAGAAAAATGGTGAGTGTGTTCTCCTTGGTTTTTTGGCTTGACAGTTTGTAACTGAGATGTTCATGCTTTTGCAGTTATTCTGTGTGCAAATTCAAAGCTCCTGCCTTGCATTCCTGTTTTGTAAGTCATTTTGCCTTTATTGCTTCTTTGTATATATCTTCCTTTTCTGTGGCTTTCAACTTGCTTCATCTTTTCTTCTCCTTTATTTTTCTCTAAGCTAATGCAGGAGAGAGATAGTTGGAGCTGTCATCTCGGGGGCTGGCAGTTTGCCTTAGCCATCTTTTGCCAAATATATGGGAAGATTTGCTCTATCAGTTCACGTTTTAGTTGCATTTCTCAGATTTTTTCTTCTAATTAGGAAGATGGACGATGTTGGGATTTTTTTCATTTTTTATTATTTCATGCAGAAATTGCACCAGTTATACTTAAGACACTGTATGATGGACTCCTGTTACTGTTGAAATTTGTTTGATAGGCGAGATGGATCATCACTTGATTAAAACAGGTTCAATATAGGTTGCCTTTATTTTTCAGAGGTGTTTGTTTCGGGCCTTCTCCCAATTTGATATCGATTTCTCTATTTTAAAACTAGTTGGTTATGTTCCTTGCCGTTTTCTTCCCCCAGACTGCAGGAATAATTTCAATCCTGTGTCATTTTGGGAATACCTGCCACTTCTGGCGTTTTGCCTCTCTTGACTGCAAATCTATTTTTATTTAGTTTGTTTTGTTCCCCCCACCCTGTCTTGGGAATATGTGGAAAAACAGCACTGAATAAGTGAAACTGCAGTGTTAAAACTAAGTGATTAAACACTACAGATTAGTGTATAAGCTTCCTCCTTTGAACCCCCCCCTTTTTTCTTTTTTTTCTGATAAGCGTGTATTATGGGGTGTTTAAATACTTTTCTTTTTTAAAAGCTTTTATCAACCTTATTGTCTTCACAAATTGTCGTTAAAGTCATTGTTAAAGATGACTCTTGAAAATATTATCTGAACACGTGTAAGATAGAAGTGAAACCATTTGCATGTGTTTTTGTAAAGAAGATGGTGCAGACATAAACTCTCTAGAAGTGATCTAGAAGTATTTTATGTTTTTAATAAACTGTTTTGACAGTCCTTTGTCACTGATCTGTCACTTACAATGTCTTCATGAAACAAAAAAGTTAATTGTATACTCTTCAATGTACACACTTAAAAGTACACACTTCCATAGCATTTGTAGAAATGCAAGACAGTCGATTGATTATAGCAGTTGTCAGAGTGGCAGATTAATTTTATTTTTCTTCCCTTCCTTGTGCTTACTGGTCTTTTGTGTGTGTTAAAGCGTGTATGAGGTGTCATGAGCCATTTTGAACTATCAGATAAGATACTTCTTAATTTCAGTGTAGGTTTTGACCTGTCAGTGTCACTAAGTTTTTAAATTTTCAATAAACAAGATTTTGTTTGAAATTATTAATGGAACTAGGTGATACTTAAGATCCCTTCCAACTCTAGCCATTCTATGATTTTATCTTACTATCCAGTGTAATTGGTGTTAAATATTCAGGTAAATGTTTACTTGAGCAGACTCAGCTTAATTTAATCTCTTAAAAACTGCAAATGTATTGCCTTGGTTAAAACTCTGACAGCATCTGGCAGTCATTTCAGCAGGTGTTTGTATGGGGATGTTAATGTTACACACACACACTCCCCCAGATTTGTTTATCAACTCTTATACTTCAACAAATGTTATTATAATGCCTTTTATTTATGTTAAAATAAAAGCTTTGACTCTCGTTATCCTTCTATAGCCAGCAAATTACCTGTGTGCAATTAACAGATTGGTAGCAGGGCCAGGCTGGGGGCTCTTGGCTCCTGAAGTACTCTCCTCCCTGTGAGCTGCTGTCACGATACATGAGCCACTGTCACGACATGTCCCACGTGTGCTGGTGCCTCCAGGCCAGCATTGCTCAGCAGCAACGGCCACCCTTCTGCTTCCCAGGCTTTCCCTGGTGCCCTTTTCTCCTTCTCCTTGCTGCTCCGATGGGGGAGAAAAGAAAAAAAAAAAAGATTATTTTAATTCTTTTAATACCTGCTGTGAAGCTGAGTGAATGTGTGCATATTCCTTAATGTCAGCTGTGCTAGAAAAGTGATCTTTGAGCGGGACTCCTGCCATCCTCCTAAATCTGCTGCAGGAAAATGAATACATTTCTTTTCTGCTTAGCCAGTCCTTCAGTGTTTCAGCCAAACTGACCTTTACTTCCATTTTCCCCCCACAGGCTTCTGCCTTCTCTTTCCAGCAGTACTATGTTTTGTCCTTAGTGGCCTCCATGGCTTTACTTCTAAGGACCTGATTGGGGTTTGTCTCTGCCCTTTTCATCGCCTACCACAGGATCAAAATTCTGTGCTTTGATTTTTTTTTTTTCCTGTTTTCTTTGCTTATTAGGCTTTTGTTGTGTTTCATGTGGCAATTTTTGAACTATTGTACAGCCCAATCCAGAACGGGGGGGGAAAAAAACTCAGCCATTCTGACGGTCATTTTGTGTCTTCAATACAAACAGGGGAATGGGCTTAAGACACTCAAAATCCCTGAGTAGCATGTTTCTGGGGGATATTAGCAACAGAAATTGTAATTGCAGTGAAAATGAAATAAGTAGATACATGCTGCAGTGTTTGAGTCAGGGTGTTTTGCTGTGAGGGCCTTGCTGCTGATGGGGGCCACCTGAAGTCCTCCCGGCAGGGCCCACTTCAGCCCCACAGCTCCTCCTTTGCTCGGACAGGTGAGGGAAGGCTGGGAACCCTCTTTTAACATCTTGTCTCTTCCACCTCCTGGTATCTTGTCAAATTGGTAGGGTGTTTTTCCATCAGAGTTGAAAAGAAACAGGTAACTGAATCGTCAGTGTGCAATGGGCCTGCTCTGGGGTCAGTAACGTCTCACAGGCGTTTTGGCGTGTGGTGCCAATGCTGGGCCAGAAGCTCCTTCACAGGGAGATGTGCTGCAGTTCATCCATCAATATCCTTCAGGGTTTTTGCATAATGCATAAACTCTTAGGTTTCACAGGCAGAGAAGTGCTCAGATGCTAGTGAGGAGTGTTCTGTAAGTAGCGGACGGGGAGAGGGTCAATGAACCAGCTTCTAGCTGAAGTTATGGAGGTTGCTCTGTTGTTTTTCAGAAGCGGTCGGGTTTTTGGTAGAAATTTCACACTTCTCTCCTTAAAAACCTGTGAGGTTGCTGCAAAAGGGGTGGTGGTTCTTCACAGTCATGGGGTCCCCTCCTTTTGGCCCTGCTGGGCTAGTGGAAGGCTAATCGTAGAGGTACTTCTTGCAGGGTTACAGCTGGATTAATGATCTGAGGATATTCTGAGCTAAATTCATCTCTTTACCAGTTTTTGTCCTCTATTTCGATGTCCCAGCAGTGTTGTGATCTGTTTATGATACATGAGAAAGTTTGTGATTTATAATATCTGTTAAGGTAGAGGAAAAATTGGGACCAGAAAAGAGGAGGAGGACACCAAAATAGTTTTGGGTTTTGTTTTGGTTTTTTTGTTCAGAATTTTGTTGGTTAGCTGTTACTGATGTCGCAGCTTAGGCTATGATAGCATGCATAATCCTATATAACTGCAATGTTTTGTAATTTATGTCAAAAAAAACCCCAAACAAAGCCAAACCCATAGAAAACTAATGAGATTAACATCTTCAGATATGAAGGAGTCCTTGGAACTTAAAAAAATTGCTTTTCTTTGTGTTTTAAACGGGCTGGTTTAATATTTAAAGGGCGGGGGGGGTTGGGGTAGGTGTGGTTTAGTTTTGTTGGTTTTTTTTTATATCAGACTCACTTTGCCCTAATGTATTTGGGAAAACTGCTTGGTCTACAGTATTGCTTTTTTGGCTATTGCTTTTACATCATGTTTTACGCAGTTTAAAAACAAAAAAAAGTATTTAAAATAAGGAATTCTGAAATTCTTTTCTCATAGTTCAACATCTGCAGAAAGTATACCTTTTACTTAAGTGGGGCTGCTTTAATTTATTTTCTAGATAGCTTTTGTTCTAGCGTTTTGTAAATTCTTGTAACTTCACGATGCGATGCTAGTTGCAGGCATGTAGTGATAATTAACATCCCTTGTTTGTTTCAAGTATATTCCATAAACATATGAACTTGGAAAACTGAAACTAATGAATGAAACTTTTAAAATTATACTCAGCACACTTTCTGCACCTTTTTTGTTTTTTTTAAAGGCAGGGAGAGAGTATACTCTTGCTTTTCTAAGTATAATTTAGGCAAACAGAGCATATGTATTTAAAGCTACATCCATTTTACAGAAGGATTTGTATGCTGGCCTGGGCTATTCCTAAAATGTTTGGGGATAATTCTGCCTTGAGTTTTGTACTAAATGCCATGTTTACTAAAGGATTTCTTGATAACGTCTGGTTAATAATTGAAACTCCAGTGTTCCTCATTGTGCTGATAGTGTTAGGTGAAAAATTTGAGGTAATAAGGTGATGGAATTAGCACAGTGAATGATACGCTTGCAGAGAAACAGAAAGCCTAGGGGTTTGTTTTGTATTTCTAAGCAGCTTTTGGTATAGCTGCTGTGTATATGGAGACCATAATTTAATTCATATGTACTTTCTCATGTAATTTAATGTATGCTGTGTATACTCTGATTTTTCACTGAAAGTTCTCTGTGCTCTAGCACTTCCTCCCCACCCTCCTGACCGGATGTATTTATCTGAAAATTTTTGTAGCGTATTTAAGGTATAAAACAAAACTACATTTCTAATCAGCAAATCTCGTTTTCTGTTGATAGATGATGATGTACCTGCAGATATGGTTGCAGAAGAATCAGGTCCTGGTGCACAAAACAGTCCATACCAACTTCGCAGAAAAACTCTTCTACCTAAAAGAACAGCTTGCCCTACAAAGAGCAGTATGGAGGTAACTTGTGTTTATTTTTAATTGTAAAGTAAATCTTGCTGTTTCAAGAATAGGAAGCTAGTTTTTACTTTTCATGAGTTACCTAATGACTAAACTAATTCTTATTTATTTCATTAAAGGGTGCCTCCACTTCAGCTACTGAAAACTTTGGTCACCGAGCTAAACGTGCTAGAGTATCTGGAAAATCCCAGGATTTATCAGGTAATAACTTTTTGTACAAAGGAAAACGAGGGGGTGAAGGGATGGAGACTTTGACTTCACCCACACACCACCACTGAACCGATTTTTTTTATTATTATTATTTTTATTTTTCTTGTCTGTTTTCCAACCAAGAAACAGTCATGAAAAAACAACGATAAACTTGTTCTGAACTTCAAATTTGGAAGCATGGTTTTAATCTGATTTTTAGCCTCTGACCATTTCTCGTATTGGTGTATTGCCCCAGTATGCTGATCAGAGGGAGATTTGGTATGTCGTTGTAGCACTTCATCGTGGAGACAGGGAGAGAGATTGTGTGTGTTTATAAATAAAAATACACCTAAACCTACATGCATATATATCCATGTATTTCACACACACAGTATATGCATATTGTATAACAAACGCATGCATGTGTATATAATTTTGTGTCTATAATGTGTATTTTTTGTTTGTACACACACATACATTATAAATACACATGCACACGCATATATAGGCACACATATCCTACTTGTTCTTTTTTCTAATGTCATTTTTCAGTCTCTGTGCTTCTACCCCTTTTTTTTTCCTGACACGCTCTTTAGTTCCAGGAGATCTGCTGTCACTTTCCCTGGAAAATCAACACCAACGCTTGCCAGCTCCCATTGATGTGGTTTCTGTTGCTTTTCTTGTTGGTGTGTTGGTTTTTTTGTAGTGTTGTTTTTGTTTTTTTTTTTTTTAGTCCATGTCTCCCTTAACACTGTGAATTAAAACTGAGCAGCTGGCACAAGGCTTTTGTCCATTTTCATTGCTTTTGTTGAATTCTGCTCTTTCTGGCTTTTCACCTTCTCCATAGTGTAGATTTTTCTTTCTAGCCCTCTGTCTCTTCCCCACTCTGTTTGATTCTTCCTCCCCGTGAGTTAACTTCATTTTAGCAAGTGGTAAGAATCATTTAACCTCAGTTTTATATCCTTGAAATTGCCAGAACCAACTGAACATCAACCTGTGTCATTTTACTTCCCATTTCATTTCCTGATTTGATATCTGAACCTTCTGCAAAGTTGTTTTTTCATAGACTCAGTTTATCTTGCTAGTTCTTAGTTTTTCTTCAAGGTCCTTTGATTTTGATGTGTTCTTCTCTACATTTTTACTCTCCTCCTTACTTTAGTGAAGGTATGTAACTTTACTGGAGTCCTGTGGTACAAATTACGCCATGAATGACACTAACTTCCAAAGGAATTCTCCACGCTTTCGCTGTGCATTCCTTTTATTGCATTCTTGAGCTCATGTGGAGAAAGTTCAGGGATTGTGGAGGCTTTTCCAGCATGGAATTAACGGAGGAATTGTAAACAGTGATTTTATAAATATACTTTTAAGATCGTATTCAAACCAGTCACAATTTGACAAGGGAATGTCCTTCTCAACCCATTTTCTATTAATCTCTTTTCCCCATTATAGATGATGGTTATTTTTTTATTTTCCCCATTGAGTTTTGGAGATATTCCTATAAATTTATACAAGTATAGTTTTTTTTCCCCCATTTTTTGTTAGCAGAGATAATGACAATTGTTGTGAGTTGTAAGCATTGAGACTTCCTGGATTGTCATCAGTGGAGATGGTGTATTGTCATCTGGAACATACAGCTGTTTGTTAGAAGTGTAGGTGAAATGAAGGCATGGGACTAGAAACAGGGATGGTTCTCCACCAAGACATTTTCCTTCTTCTACGGACTCTAAGCCAAGGAGAATTTGGTGGAGATGAAAAGAGAAATGCCAGTCAATTAGAGTTTCCAACTGGAGTGGAGCCAATAGTTGGAAAAACAAAAGGCTATTCCTTACTTTAATACTGATTTCAGAATTAGTGCTCCTGAGAGAGAGTTGCTATTTCAAGTTGTAAGGGAGGGGGAGAGAGAGAGAGAGAATCTGTCTCAGATATTGTCAAGAAGAACACATTAGAATTTTGAAATACTGACTTTTTTTCCCCCGTTATTTGCAACCCTGTCCTCCAGTGATCTTTGCAGTGGACAATGAGTTTTTCAATCATGAGGCAGAGAGATGGATTAATATACAAGCATCTTGATGAGAAAGCAACACACTATAGAAAATATGTAGATAATTTTTCACTTAAACTCCAAATTTTAAGTAGAATACAAAACCAAAGAAACCAAAAATTTAGGTAAGAAAAGATGATGTGCTGCTTCTATCACTAAGGACTGGTGAACCTACAAATTCAGCATTTGTTTGACATCTGTAGAAAACATTGACACCTTGTAGATCTTATTAGTCTAAATATTTATATCATGTGCTACTATAATATTTCTTAATTCACAGAAAGGTTTAAATCCAGTACATTCTGACTCTTTCCTTACTTTACCTCAACTTTAAATGTGCGTCTCCTTTTACTGGGATATTTCAGTGTCTTTAGTACCACTTGTCTCCTCATATCATTTTAATCATTTGACATACTCTTCCTTTTTGTTTATTACTGGGTAGGTTTTTTCCTCTCTTGCTTTAAGAGTACTCCATTTGCATATCTGTTTTATACTGGGCAGTTCTTGCTGACTTCTTTTAACCATCTTTGGAAGACTTCAGTTCAGAGACAAGTAATTTCTTCCTTTTCACTGAACTACAGAATTGCAGTAGGTACTGAAATTATTCTGGGTTACTGGATCACTCGTTGATTGTTCCCCACATTAGGTACTGCACATGCACAACTCATAGTTCCCAGAACTTATGCCTTTAAAATTTATCTTTGACTTTTCCTATTGATTTATAAGACATTTTTTCCAAGAACACTCCATGCCATGTTTTCTGACATATTTCTACTTCTTAACAAGACAGTATTTTTACTAAATGCCTCCTTCCTTACAGAGCAAAAACTATTTGTCTCCATCTTCTCCACTAAAATGGACAAAAAAGGTATCCATATGAGACATAATTTACGATTTAGGATTCATGGGATGGCATTCTTGGTCTTTATACAAAGATGGTAATTCACTTTGAGGCAGCTTTCCCTGCCCTTTGTCTGGTATTACTCTACTAGTTTCTATCTACTAATGGATCAAAATTGAAACTGAATTGGCTTCACGCATATCCTGTGGAAACAGAATGACATAACCAGCTGTGTTTCTAATTTTCAGCTGTCTAGTATATTAACACTTGCTTAACACTATTAAGATCATAAATAGTTCAATTGTCAACTTATGTTAGGTCAGAGATGAAGATTGGTGATGACCTCTTGTGCTTTGTTTGTATTTTTATTCTTGTCTATTTTAAATACATACTTGGAAAATGTCTTTTTTTTAAAATAAGAGTATACATTTTGTACTTAACAGTCACTTTGTCAATAGGTATAAAACTGTCAGGAGTAGCAGCGCACAAATGTTTCTGATTTAGTGGCCAGACAAACCTTTAAAACTGATTTGGCGTATTTTTCTAAACTGGGAGGAAGAATATATTGAATGCATCCTCTTTTTAATGGATTACTGAAAGGTACCTAAAACGTGAAGTGTGAATTTATAAAACAAAAGCCTGGAATTCTCCCTTGAACCCAGAGGGTATTTAAGTCTTCACATAAGAGGCAAATTAGCTTTCAAATAATACTGGAGAATTCCATCTTGTAATCACTGTATCAGTGATTTGAGTGGAGAAGTGTTAAATCAACCCCTTCTAAATTGATCAGAAAAGTGATTTAAATTAAATCTCTCACTTCTACAGGATTTTGGATAAAGGTGGGTGAGAATCACAAACACCTATAAAATCATCGTCTTCATTTTGCAAGCAGTGCCTAAGTTTCCAAGTAAATACAACATGAAAAAATTTTAGGGGCTGAGGGGCCTTATTGTGACTTTTGTTTCTTTAATTGCAAGGAGTTTTCTGATGCTCTTTTGAAGTTGGTCCATGGCCCTTGTAAGAAATGCATCTGGATTTCAATTTTCATTTTTAGATAAGGCCTAGGGAAGAAAATGTGAGTGTGAACCATGCAGTAATGGGAGGCTCTACACTAGTGAACTTCCCTCTTCAATAAAAAAATGAATCAAGTTCCTAACATATATAAACTTAAAGGAAGAAAAAATTCTGCAGCTGCTTAGGGAAGAGAAGAGGGGTCATGGAAGGCTTGTGAGGATTTACTGCCTTGCATTCACAACAGCATTTCAGCTTGTAACAGCAGTAGAAGGCTCTGTCTCCACAGCTAACTGGGAAGCTACCAGAAAAAGATGAATTCAGAAGCAGTGTCTAATTATCCTGTGATGCATTTCAAGGGTAATTAGGGCTGTAGAATGGATTGCTGCTGCCTGTTTGACACAGGAAAGAACCTTTAAATCTCCAGTGGAAAAGGACCTTTTTAAAAACCAGCACTGATAGTGCACGTAACATTTTTATTTTTGGTGATGCCCAAACATGTTCACCTCTTTAGTGTAAGGCCTTTCCATATTATTTGCTTTTTATTATTTTTTGTTAGCTTACTGTCTTCAGCTTGACTCATAAGTTTTTATTTCGTTTTTTGAATAAAAATATTTTTTTAAAATCTGGTTATTAATAATGCTGCTGCTGAAGGGAGCTGTCTTGGCCAGGGTCTGGGTATTCATTCCTGTCTCCTTCCTTGTGCTTGTGCTAGTGTTCATGTGAGCTAGAACAAGGAACCAATCCATAAAAAACCCAAAACAACAACAAAAAAACCCCCTACAAAAACCCACAAACAAACAAAGAAAAAAAACAAAACAAAGGTTTATTCTGTCCACACTCAGTCCTACCAACCTAACGGATGCTTTGGGAGCAAATAGCTGTTGGCACGTGGAAAGGTGAGACTCACAGCTTTTGTACAGCATAGATTTTTGTTGGATTAAAGTGGCATGTATCTGTAGCTTATGAGTGTAAGCAGGGTTATTGTTGGGAGCAGCATCAATCAATTGGATAAATGCCCTCGTAGCATCTTCAGGGAAATTGGTATTTGTGAATCACTAAGGTGACGTTCATATAATGGTGCAACAAGGAACAGGTTTGGGGAAAGTCACTGCAAAGTCAATAACACTTCAGAATTTCTACTAACTAATCTGACCACAGATGTAAGTGTGACACCCTGGAAAAAACAACTCTTGTCGTTTCTCTCATAGTACACAGGTTCTGGTGATGTGGTCTGTAGATCACAGTTTAGCATCTTCCTAAAAAACACAGTTTTGGTCCTTGCAGTTTGTCCTTTCTCTCTTTTCTAGCGAGAAATAATGTAGTTATTTGGACTGCTTTGTCCAGGAAAGACTTAGAGGCTTATCTTTTTTCCTTTTTTTTCCCCCCTCTTTTCATTCTTCTTTGTGTGTAATCTCACATGGAAACTCTTTTCAGAATGATACTTCCTCTAATTTAGTAGGTCATTTTTCTGAGGGTCACTCTAGTAGTCTTCCTGTAGTAGCCAAAATGACAATCCCGTTGCTCCCTAGGTTCAGATGTTCTAGGAAAAAACAAATAATGCAAGAGGCATTACATGGATGTAATTGCATTATGAATGTAGCAGGAGCTTTTAATGCCTTGCATACAAATCCTCTAAACTTCAGAACACTGTTCTGAAGAGGGGAGACCTTGAAATTATCCTGGCTACTGGTTTTCTGCATCCCAGGCTTTCTCTTTTCTAATGTGTTCGTGGGAGAACAAGGAAATTTTACTAGTAGTTTTTCCAGACAGTGACTATTTCTGAGTAAATTCTTTTGTGTTTGAAAACATTTGCAGAGATTTTGACTTTGGGACTGGATTATTATTATTATATGGATAATGTGGGTTAATTGAACCACAATGAAGGTAATAGCGGTGAGGAGCGAGTCTATCTGGAACGTTCACAGTAGCCTACTTAACATCTGCAATTGTGTGCAGATTTGATTCCTCCAATAGAAAAGATGAACTAAAAAGTTCTGAAAGGGGGCTTGAAGGCTGTAACTTCTACCTGACTCCAGAGTCAACCATTTACCTTTTCTTTTCTTTAGATTTAGAAGAAATGTACTTTTTAATTTAAAAAAAAAAATTGCTCTGAGGTCATTGGCATTTTAAATAGGAATATTTCAAATAGCAAGTTAGTGATCTACTTGGGTTAGAATATGGGCTTGTTAAATATGTCAATAGTCTTACATAAATTACTGTTTAATAGCAGCACCTGCAGAACAATACCTTCAGGAGAAGTTGCCAGATGAAGTGGTTCTAAAGATCTTCTCCTACCTGCTGGAGCAGGATCTCTGTAGAGCAGCTTGTGTGTGTAAACGCTTCAGTGAGCTGGCTAATGATCCAATTTTGTGGTAAGTGAAAAGCTATTCCTCATTATCTTGAAAAATATTAGATGTGCTGCACAAGAGGCCAGTACAATAGAAAAATTGAAATGTTGATTGCAATTAGTTGAATTAAAACCAATTGTGTTTTAATATGTCTGGTTTACTTAAGCATTATTTGTTACTTACAAATGTGTTAAGTTACTTACGATGTGTTAAACAGTAAAACTTTTAATTCTGTAGTAGTGTAGATACTATTTAAGTAAAGGCTTGTTTTAAAAAATCAGTGAGGTATTCCTTCAGTAGCCGGTCCTTCCTTTCTTTCCCTATTTAACCTTTTTCATGCTTCTGTGGGTATTGTGTTCCTTTATGCAAAAAGAAAAACACATTTCTTAATGTTAAATGCAAGTTTCATCTAGTGTTAATTTTGGGGGGGCAGAATGAAGTTGGGTGGGGTTTATTCTCATTTGTTTTGTTTAATGGTTGGATATTCAGGCTGTTTTTCCCCATGAATCCACCCTAATTGTGGGGTTTTGAGAGACTGGATAAATGGGATCTAAATTTGCATTATTTCATAAAGAAAAATAACATGTTTTCCTAGGCTGTTGCTTGTTTGGGTTTTGGTGGTTGGTTTTTTTTTAAATAATTATTAAGACTAAAAGAAAAAGATTAAAATGTGAGTATAACATCACAAAAGTGTGGGGTGGGGCTTTTTCTTTCCTAAAGCCAGCTTTGGGGGTGCCTTGTCAGATGAAATGCAACTTCTGAGATTCAGTGGCATCTTGTAAGTCTGGGCTTAATATCAGCAAGCTACAATTATTTGTGTTCTGGCACTAATCAAAAGAATCCAATTGTGTGCTTTGTGTGCTATTTTCTTTTTTTAAGCCACTGTAATCTGTCCACTGATGAACTCTTTTTGAAATACAGTGCATCATTTGTTCTCTGTGAATGCATTTTTTTTCAGCCATTTTTTGGTAAGGTGAGGAAGAGGTGGTGGCACACTTAAGTTTTGTTATTCTTATCCTACTTGCTTTCCTAAAGCTATGTTGCAGTTAACACACAATTAGACTCTGATTCCACGTACAGTGTAACTGCTGAAATTTCTTCATGGAAGTTGCATGTTGAGAACTCTGTCTCTTGGATCATAAAACACATGTCAAGATTTTTCTTAGAAAAACACAGAAGTCAGTCCAAAAGAAAAAAGTGTTTTGGAAATGTTTTTAAAATGGTTGGTACTGATCTCGGTCAAATTACTGTCACAGACTGGTGAATGCCACTGGAAAAATCCCAGTTTTTAACATTTGGTGTGTTTTATATTAAAATGGAAAAGTAATCAGAAATATATATTAATTTTCTTTTCTGCTTGACACTTTTACTCAGGAAAAGATTGTATATGGAAGTATTTGAGTATACTCGTCCAATGATGCATCCTGAACCTGGTAAATTTTATCAGATTAATCCAGAAGAATATGAACATCCAAATCCCTGGAAGGAAAGCTTTCAGCAACTGGTAACAGTAGTATTCATTTACATTCCAATTTGTAGATTGTTTATAAAAGTATAAACCCCCAACTTCTGAAACGTGGCTGACAATAGTAATTATTTTGGGTTTAGACCTTAAATAAGATGATGGTACTGAGGAGGTGGGAGAGATCCCTGTATTGCTTTATGAAGTTATTTCCTGTTCTGAGGCACACTTTAGGGAGGCACATCACGGTAAAGTGGAGTGTTTGAGCATCCAGCTCTTCTATCTTGGCTTTTCCTCATGTTTTGCATCGCTGAAATTGTGTGGAAGAGATTGTCATGGTCTGTGGCTCACAAATAAACTTCAAATAAATGGTTGTCATCATATATTATTAAACCAGCCTGCATGCTGGTTATCGGATTTGTGTGCATCGTCCTCCAGTAAACCAAACAGCAGATTGATAATATCACTTGGGCTTAAATAGCCATTTGCAGCTGACATGACCTGAGCTAAACAAGTTACCTTTAAGGCACGTGATTGAACCCCTAATTCCTAGTGTCAAAGGTATTGTAAGAATGGCTGGGTGTGATATTTATTTTATCATGGTGAGTGTATTATAGAATGCTGCATGTAATTAATTGGTTAATGGAATTATGAAGCCTGTTGAGGACAAATACTTGGCTTCAATTATGAAGCCTGTTGAGGACAAATACTTGACTTGGCTTCTTTGTCCACTATTCAATCAAATGTGAAGGTATAAGATTCTTTTTTTTTCCTCACCATATAAATGCAAGCTGGTAGAAAATCAAAAGATGGAAATAAGAGCACCTGTTGCGGAGCAGATGAGGTACATGAAGGTTTTCACTCACTGTAGAGGCTTCTGGCTGTGTAAGCAAGTTGGCCTCTCTTTTTAGTTGATCACTCTCTTAGGCTTAGGCTTTTATTTTTGGTGTTGCCACTTCACATTGGGTACCTAATATGGGAGGTCAGTTAATGTGACCCTGAGTTCCTGGAACAAACTGATATCAGCAAATGGCTTAATTGGGGGATTAATGGATCTCTTGTCTGTGCATTCAGATCCACCCATCTGCAAGCTTTCATAAACTGTTTTCCTCGTTTCAGTACAAAGGAGCACACGTAAAGCCAGGGTTTGCTGAACACTTCTACAGTAATCCTGCAAGATATAAAGGAAGAGAAAATATGTTGGTATGTTTCTAAAGCAGCTCTTAAGAATATTTATGTGTCTTTGTATGGCTGTTTCTCTCTAAACTCGTCCCTTTTCTTCTAGTATTATGACACCATTGAGGATGCTCTTGGTGGAGTTCAAGAAGCTCACTTTGATGGACTTATCTTTGTTCACTCTGGTATATATACTGATGAATGGATATATATAGAATCTCCAATCACCATGATCGGTGCAGGTATTTCAACTTTGTCTCAAAGTATGACTTGTGTTAATTACCACCTTAATTACAAAGGTAGTCTGGTGTATGAAATATCCAGTATAAATGCCCGTCTTTATTCATCAGCCCAGTAAGCAAGTATTTTCTGTACGAGTGTCACTAAATAAAAAATGGCTGATGCTTCAGACAGAAGTACCGTTGTCTGCTTGTTAGTTCTTAGAATAGCTTACTTACCTTTTTATTTCAGTAGGAGAAAAAAAAAAAATTGAGTTTGTCGTAAAGCATACTCAGTTACATGACTGCAGTTGAAATTTTCAGGTGGTTCTTATGAAATTTGTTTATATATAACCTATCTCCAGAGTAGAATCCAGCAGTGGGAGCAAGCCCAAATTAGTATCTGTCCCATTTTCTTCAGCATCGTAATTCCATTTTGAGATTAGAAATGAGAGCATCCAGCAGAAAGATTCTGAGACTGGAGATTCTTTCTCTGTTCATCACCCAACTGTTCCTCTAAAGGAGATCCTTTATGGAGAAGGAAGTAAGACTTTCAGAATAGGAAAGGTTTAAGAAGTCTTAATATAATACATCTGACTACAAATTTTGGTGCTTGTGGAGCTGTTTGCTTTTCCTGTCCCTACTGTGAGTTTGCTAATCCCCAGTAGCATGATAGAGCACTAAGAATTTAGACTGTCTTAATGTCTGGTAGAGATTTTGGTTATGAGGTCTCAGACTTCTTGCACCTATAGTAACCTAGAAGTGAATTGCCTACAGTCTGCTTTTTCTGAGATACTGTCCATCTGGGTTGGTTTTTTGGTTTATTTGGGTACTTTAGGTTTTTTGAAAGACAGGAAAAAAAGTCCCTCTTTTCAGGTATCTATTTGTTCTTTGTAACAAGTGTTCTGTTCTTGAGTGAACCTATTCTGGCACTTCTTGTCTGCATTTTGCAGCCCTGGCAGTGAGAATGGTTTTGACCAATGCAGTCAGAACGTTCTGGTGTTAGTCTTAAAACCTGTCCCTGCGGATCTGCAGGAGGCAGCTGGGTCAGTATGTTAGTTTGTCAGTTCGTGACTACGTTTCTGAAGCTAACATCCTCAACATCCCCACTTACTGTGCTTCAGTTTGTATTGTGGAGAGCTTTTGGAGCACAAACTGGATTCCTTTGGGATGAGACTCATCTAAGAGGCGTGTTCCTGGAATACTCTTATTGCACTCTAATAGTCGTTGTGCATTCAGTTGGAGGGACCAAGCTAGGACTAGTCCAAAGCCAATCTCCTACTTTTCCTGTCCTGCAGCACATGGTGTGGATGTCTGAGCCTTGGCACTATTTCAGTCTGTAGGTACCACTCCTGTTCTGCTGCAGTGCTTGCTCATGCAGACGTTGCCTAAGAAAAATCACAAAATACCCCCAGCTTCTGTTTCAGAAAGGGGATGACAGTAATAGATGCCAGTACAAATAGGTCAAGTCATATTCATGAAGTGTTTTAAATCCAGAAGAAACTGGATCAGCACTGGCCTAAAATATAAAGTTTCTCCATTACTTCATGAGACTCGAAATGACATCTTCACTATATGGTTAAACTTCTGCGTGTTCTATGGCTCCTCTTTAAGTTTTTAAAGACCCTCTGCTTTCCCTTCCACTGGAATTAACCTAAGTTATTCAGGAAAAACAGTTATCTTAAACTACAGTTCATGAAAAGCGAGGGATCTGCATCGGGTATTTTTGTAAGAGAATAGCTGTCTTGGGGAACAAAACCTCCAAGAGGAATCCAGAAATGTTGGATTTATTTATATTTCAGTTTCTGGCACTGCTGTCTCTTCACTTCCTCAGACTTTCTCCACTGAATGGTCAGTGACATTGTAGAGGGAGTCAATTTTCATTTGTCTGGAAAAGAAAACAAATTTAAAGTAAACCACTAAGCCTTGGAGAACTACCTCTTCTCTGTTCAGTCCGGTGTGCTTTTCAGAATAGTAGGATTAAGGCAGCACCAAATCTCTGCAATTCTACTCAGATTTCTTTAATAGTTTCTTCTGCTGACTTCTTCAGAAGCACAGCTTTATTGGAAAGGCAGCTTTACATACCTTGAGCTTTCAGGAACCTTCTGCTGTCTTGTATAAGCAAAATGTTCTTAGAGAATAACGCCTGGTATTCTATGTTTGTTCTCTTTAATTTTGGAGTTATTTCTTTCTTTCCTTAAATCCAGGGGAAGCAGTCAGGTTCAGGAAGAAGCCTTTGGACATATTCCTAGTTCTGTGGCTTATCTGAACTGTCAAATGAGAAGCAAGAGTAGAAATCCTGTAAGGAAATTGATGCATCTGGTTCAGTGGACAGAAATACCTATGAATTTCTTAAAGGAATTCTGTTTTCCAGAGTTGGGGAGGGGGTATGGGATCACTGCAGGAACACAAGCCTTCCATGGAGTGCTCATCTCGCTCAAGACAAGTCTTTTATCTTAATAGCTGTGTTTCAGCAGATGTACAGACATGTGTCCTGACAGGAGAATCGTTCACTGAGTATGGGGTTTTTTCTGTATTTTAGGAGGTACAGTTTTCATTTTCCCCCTTTATTTTCCATTTGAATTAAGTAATGTTCAAGTCGGAGAAAAAGGGATTATCAAAAGATTTTCCAGTCAAGAAAAAACATTAATAAAAACAATGAGAATTGCTGTTATTTTAAGGGTAGAAAACTCTATGGTAAAGACTGTCATAATTAAATGTTTGGGTTTTTTTTACTTTTGAGTGCAAGAGAACTTTCACGTGCCTGAATTCTTCTTTATATACCTGTTCTGCATCTTTGAATTAAAATTGTGTATTAGACTAGTTTGGAGTTGTGTTCTTTGCTGTAGATTTTGCAGACTGCAAGATCAAAAAGGGCCTCTGCATTTTTAGCATGATACAATTGAACAGGGTCACAATTACTTTGCAGAATCTGGTAATTTTTCTAGTAATGCACTGAAAAGTGAAATTGGTTTATTCCTTTTGAGGAACAAAAGAATTCTGAGGCAACATCCAGTTAATTTTTAATTCTTTAGGCAGCCCCTTATCATAGACTTTCTGTTAAATTATTTCTAAATGTTCTCATCATGGTCCTCAAACTGAGCGTGAATTCCGATCCCATGGAACATGACTCCCTTAGACTTCAGCAAATAGACTACTTGGTTACAGAATTAGTGCCCTTTTTTCTTTTCCTTTTTTTTTTATACTGGTTTCTTTCTTCTAAAGTGGTCACTTCAGCAAATAGACTACTTGGTTACAGAATTAGTGCCCTTTTTTCTTTTCCTTTTTTTTTATACTGGCTTCTTCTAAAGTGGTTTAAGCCAAAAGCTTCGGTTGTATCTGAAATACAGATAATTCTCTTAATTCTTTTGCAAAAATTCAATACAATGTTGCAGAGAATATCTTTTGAAGAACTTAGAATGAAACCAATGCTTGAGCAAGTCCCCTTCCTTTTTCAGCCTTTTCCTTGGGGGGGGACCTAAATACAGTGGTCTTACAAATCAACATGTTCCATAACGGGCATTCTGGGACCCCCAAACTCAGAGACCTCTGGAGTAATTTGTGTGCTTAGAGCAAGGAGATGTCTGTTCAGAACATCATCCAAGTGCATGGCAAACACCTCCAAGCACAATTCCACAAATCTCTCTACTTGTTTGGTAGCACTTCAGATCATCTAATGTTAAGTGTAATTTTTCCTTGCCCTCCAGAAGAAGGGAACATAGTTCTGATATTAATTTATGGTTCTTTTATTGCCTGTTAAGGCCATTTATTTTCTGGTTTTGATTCACCTGCACTACTGTGGTGCTGTTTTCTCAGATGCTAGTATACTGTTGTGTGTGTGACAGTGCACTTGCACAAAGCTGAAAAACAGTTAATTATATATGAAATAAAATCATGGAACGGTTCAGGTTGGAAGGGACCTTAAAGATCATCCAGTCCCACCCCCCTGCCATGGGCAGGGACACCTCCCACCAGACCAGGTTGCTCCAAGCCCCATCCAGCCTGGCCTTGAACCCCTCCAGGGATGGGGCAGCCACAGCTTCTCTGGGCAACCTGTTCCAGTGTCTCACCACCCTCACAGGAAAGAATTTATTCCTAATATCTAGTCTAAATCCTATCGCTCCACTCCCTGATCAAGAGTCCCTCCCCATCTCTCCTGTGGCCTCCTTAGGTACTGGAAGGTTGCTATAAGGTCTCCCCGGAGCCTTCTCTTCTCCAGGCTGAACAACCCCAACTTTCTCAGCCTGTCTTCATAGGAGATGTGCTCCAGCCCTCTGAGCATCTTTGTGGCTATCCTCTGGACCCATTCCAACAGGTCCATGTCTTTTTGTTGGGGTCTCCAAATCTGAACATAGGCTCCAGCTGGAGTCTCACGTGCTCCAGCCCTCTGAGCATCTTTGTGGCCTCCTCTGGACCCGTTCCAACAGGTCCATGTCTTTATGTTGGGGGCTCCAAATCTGAACACAGTGCTCCAGCTGGAGTCTCACGAGAGCAGAGTAGAGGGGCAGAATCACCTCCCTCGACTTGCTGTTACCAGACCACAGAAAAAATATTTGGTATGATGACACAAGTCCTCATCAAAGCCTCTTTTAGTTGTTATCTAGTCCTAAGCAAGTAGTGGTATGAAGAAGAGCTAGACTCCCTTAAAAATATTTGCAGCTCTGCAGTAATGAAAGCAGAGATCTGGCTTTTAGATAGGGAGAACAAGCTGAATAATGATGTAAATGTTGCTTCATTCTGACTGGCACCTTTCTGCTCCGAGTGATAAAGAACAGGCCATACTGCTTGTCTGTGCTAGTGTCAACAGACAACTGAGAAAGACCTGCTTGTGAGAAATCTTCAATAAAATACTGAATTTAGGGCAAGTGTTTAGTCACGTTTCTGTGTCTCAATTTGGGAAGGCTTTGAAATTGCTATCGGATGAGTCATCTCCTATAATATGTGGAACTTCCATATTTACATTTCATGTATTGAGGAAGGCTGCTTCTGGCTTGCATATTTAATGTGCAGTTTGGGATCAGACAAACAAGACTGTTTGTGAATGAGTATCATTGAATTTATAGCAGTGTGAGGCTGTTGTTAACTTGTGCTCCCTCTGCTGGCTGTTGCCATATCAATGTAAACATTTCCTTCCCCTGGATTAAGGATAAAGAACAGAGCAGAGCCTTGCTATTAACACGGGAACTCAAATTGCAGATAATGGGAACTTGCAGATGAACCATTTTGAAACCTCCTGTACATACTTCCATAAATATAGTTCAGGCTAATTTTAAAGATTTTCCTCTAAAAAATTAGGATATAGATTCAAAACTCTGCATCTTACATTTGAGAAGTGTGGAGAGGTCACTTGTAGGTCATGAGCAGATTACTAAGTAGTTGTTTAAATTAGTTCAAATTAGTGATGGAATGTATGTATTTAGCTTTAATAAAATGGTTTAGAATACCAAAATAAATTGTACTTCACAGAATTACAGTGCCTCTAGATGGGTATCCATGTTTAAATTGTTAATTCTGTTTGTTGTAAATAGCCAAAAATTAGCTCTATACAAGAGAAGATTTTTTTTTTTCATTGTACTAGATATTGGTGCAGGGTTTTCTTGATTAAAGACGAGTTTCTTCATTGTCTTTGAAACTTTCTGTTTTAAGATTCTTCTGACATGAAGGCTATTTGCATGCCAAGAATAGTGTTCTTTTTCCTTTGTTGCTTTGAACAGAATTCTGTGAGTCTTTTGAGGATTTTTTTTTTTCAGTGGCACAAACTAAGACATAATAAATGTCTTCTTTACAGCTCCTGGAAAAGTAGCAGATAAAGTTATAATAGAAAACACTAGAGATTCCACCTTCGTTTTTATGGAGGGTTCTGAAGATGCCTATGTTGGATATATGACAATCAGGGTAAGAACCTCAAACTTCAGCAGAGCTTTTAATAATTTCATTTTAATGCCTGAGCGATTAAATAAATACTACATTTCTGTGTTGTCTTCCTTTTTCAGTTCAACCCTGATGACAAATCTGCTCAGCACCACAACGCACACCACTGCTTAGAGATTACCGTGAACTGCAGCCCAATTATAGATCACTGTATTATTCGAAGTACTTGTACGGGTTAGTGGGCTTTTTATTACTTGAAATTAACAGTGTTTAAAGTTACTAAACTAACCAAGGCGCATGGAAGCAGCAAACAAATTGATTATGATCACTATTGGTATATTTCATGTTTTGATGCAGGTATTTATACAGGTATGCAAGCCTTATTTGCCTTGAAATGGCATTATTCCAGTGACTTCTTTGTGTCCAAGACCTTTGTGATAATGTGTATTTGTTCTTCTATTCCAATATTTTGGACACTGAGCAGTTAGTTTAAAACCTGAAAAGGGACAATTTATATAAACTTACCTGGTTTTCGTGTATATATAGTTGTAGCTGGCAGGAGAGGGCATTTGAAGGGGGCACACAGGGGACTTCTACATTAGGTTCATTGCAATATATGCAGTATTGGGATTGATGGTATTAAAACAGTCATGAGCTGTAACTGCTATGCTAAGTTCATTTTCCTGTCAAGAGTAGAATGATTTGACACACTTGGAAGTATAAGTTCCTAGCTCTACAGGTACAAGAAATGCATAGTGTGGACACTTAGACTCATTTAGACTCAGAGATAAGGAGGAAGTTATACTGCCTGATTTGGGAAACATTGGTGGTCTAAATTCAGGAAAGAAAGAGCCAGAGGCAGCATAAAAAGAGAGGCTGGATGGCAGGTCACAGTCATTGGCAGGAGGATGCTGCAGTTTGCAACTACTGGACACAAGACACGGCAAGTTTGATGTGTTTGAACACAACCAGATGAAAAGGAGTTGGAGTGTCAGAAAGAAGAGGGGTACAGGAGAATCAATAGATGGAGTCTTTGCATGGAAACGGCAAGATAAACTTGATATACCTAAGTTCAGCTAGTGAAATGGAAGGGTTCTATACAGCAGGCTGTGCATAAAGGTTACTGAGCTCAACATAAAGGCAAGGAAACAAGATCTTCAACTAGATATAAAAATGCCACTTCTCTAATACAAAGTCTGGAGGAGGGAATTCTGCAGGGAACAGGCTGTGCATAAAGGTTGCTGAGCTCAACATAAAGGCAAGGAAACAAGATCTTCAACTAGATATAAAAATGCCACTTCTCTGATACAAAGTCTGGAAGAGGGAATTCTGCAGGGAACTGTAATAAGAACGGTGGAAAGATTCCTTTTCTGTGCATTGTAGAGAAAGATGTGCTCTTTCTTGGAGGTTTCAGGATATAAAATGCTATTTCAGCTTTTGGTCAAGGCAGCTCTACGCTTCACATCACCATCTGTTTTATTGGAGACACATCAGCTAATTTGTAGAAGTGTTAAAAATGAAAAAAGAGGAGCAGAGGACAGCTAGCTGCTCTCAGTGTCTTGATTTCTTTGTTTAATGCTGAATACTGGGAAATTGAAGTACATGAAGAAAACTAGTTCTGCAAGTTCCTATTGGGGACCCTGATAACAAATGAGAGGAATTAGATTCTTTTCTTGGACTCCATTCAGCTTGGTTATAAAATAGTTTGAAGAGCTGCATCATTTCATAGTGACACGTGTGCTTACAGATAAGTTAGTGGATCTTGGATGTTTTTGGGAAAATTGTTTATTAAAATTAAGCTTTAATAATTTTTTTCATGACCACTTCTCATTATGAAAGGCTTCCTGAGAATTTTGGACTTCTTGCTCTCCTCAATGTTCTGGATTCCTCAGTGTTTGCTGCATTGAATTGTTGCTTCCCTTATCCAAAGCTAAAATTTCTGGTCAATTTTGGAGGCTGTGTGTAGGCTGTACTATCATCACTTATTGATTATTAATTTTTATTGACCTTTTTAATCCTACCAAGCCTTGCTGTAACTCAGGAAGTACTGAGTGTGTGTAAAAAAAGAGAGGAAGAGTGGCAGTCTGCCAGAAAAGGCATTTGCTGTTTCCAAGTCAGTGACATCTCTGAAATATTGATCCATAACCATTCAAAATCTCTTTCCTAGCACATGCTTGATGCTCTCTCTGTAGATCTCCTAATTGCATTAAAGCATATTTCTACATTATGTCATATGTAAAGTTCTTAATGTATGTAATATGTAAAGATGGGAGCTATGTAACTGCAAGTGATTTAAGCTGGAGGTTTCTTGCTGCCCGTCCAGAGCACCTTTGAAATATTTTTAAATAAAGTTTAAATAGCAAGATCCTGAGTCTAGAGGTTCTATTGCATCCATTGCAGAGGAAATCTTATTAGTCCTTGCCTTAGTAGATAAAAGAAGTAGTGGATGCCAACGTGCCTTCTTAAAGTATTGCTTAAGTGTGTGCAATCATTATATTCTGTGTAAACAAAATAAAGCCTAAGCCAGTAATACATGTGCCTCGTACTCTAAGAGGACCAATTTCACACCATCAATAATGAAGTCCCGTGAAGTGAGTTAGAATAAAGATTGCTTTCATTTAAACAAGCAAAAAGTGATAAAGGTGTGGTTTTAGAACATCACACTGCATTCTCAAAAATCCCCCTTTCCTCAGTGTCACCAAAAGAGGTAAAGGGAACTGAAAATAATACGCTTCAATTGAAAGTAAACACAAACATTGAGATGTTCTTAGCAATTAACATAGGACTTGCAAGATACTGTAGGACCACCCCCACACTCCCAAATACGAGCACCCCAACAAAATACACCCCACCCCCCAAAAAAGAACTTGATAAGCAAGACAAGATATAACATTTGTCTAGAAGAGACAGCGCTTGTGTCCTGCGGAACAAAAAGAGTTTTAGCAGTGATGCTGATTCATCACAGAATGGAGGAATTTGAATGGCAAAGTGTTGTGTAATTTTTGTTCCATATTTAATGAGAATAGGCAGGAATGATAAATGTGCTCATACCCTAGAGGGATCATAAAATACGTTCCACTCCTGACAGTAACTGTGGATGAGGTTAAACAGCTGTAAAAATAGACATTCTAAAATCAAAATCATGCAGGAGTTTAAAAAGTAACTGGCCAAGAAATCTTCTGGGCTCCTATTATGTATGAACAGTAACTTGAAACCTGGGTGAGATGGTGTGTGTCCCTGGGGGTGGGCAGCAGGGGGGAGACCAAGCTGCCTATTGATGCTGGGTAGAATATTGAGATAGTAAATGTGGGGGTTTGGTCAATCAATAATTTAAAAATCATGATTGAAGCAGATACAGTCTTTATTTACAGAAAGTTATAATGGTTGCATCACGCTGTCAGCATTTTTGATGACTTTGACTAAAAGAAGGCAGATGTCCTGGTATAATTACATAGATCCTTAAAAAATATTTGACTTCAACGTGTAGTGCCTTAAAACATTAGAATTTTACAGAATTACCAGAGCACACATTAAATAAATGAAAAAGCCATTTAGAGTAACCCTGGAAGTTCCTTTTTGTGGCTATTTCAAAGATGACTTCTTCTTGACTTTTCACCGCTTTATCAATGACTTGCAGGGAAGAAATAAAATGCATATTGATAAAATTTGAATAACAATGAAGGCTTAGGGTATCATGAAAAACCTGGAGGCTGGGTTGCTCTGCCCTTGTTTGGAAGGTGGGCTCTCAAACAATATTGATATTAGTGTGGGCAAGTGTGAAAATAAGACACACAACTCGCTTTTGTTCCTAGTTTCAAGTGACAAACCTCTCTCCAGGGAAGTTGGATTCCTGGGAAAAGCTTAAAGACAACTAAATATGAGCCCTCGTGTAGTCTGGAGTGGCCAAAAGAACTGATGTGATCCTTAGTTACGCTCCTGGGAACATTACGGAGAAGTAGAGAGACACCGTTACGCCTCTGCTTAGTCCTGCTTCAGAATAAAGTGCTCTTTCCCCGTGTCCATAGCAACATGTTGAACATTTAAAAATAGTGCCCTGAAAAGTCCTCAAAGAGAAAGCAGAAAAATTCAGTTGTAATGAAAAACCTACCGACTGCCATTTCTTTATCAAGGAGGGAATTGCGTGCACTAAATCCCTGCGCGCGTTGGGTATGGCATCACGAGAGCCAGTCACTGGGTGCTAAACCTGGAGGAATTCAAATGAGCAATTAAAGCGTAAATTAACAACTCTAACCAGCTAACAAGCTTTATGGTGGTTTCTTAGTTGTTGGAAATATTCAAATCAAAACTAGATGTGTTTTTAAAAGATACATGCTGAAGTTCCTGCTGCTAGGATTGAGGCAGGAATTAATTCAGGGAATTGTTACAACCTGTATTATTCATAAGGTCAGGCTAGACAATCAAAATAATTTCTTTATGATTTTTTTTTTTTTTTTAAAAAAAGCTCTGTAAATGAGTTTATGAATTATTGAAGTGTAGTCTTTGCGGCACTACGCTAGAAGGTAATGTGAAAACTTGCTAATAGAGCGTGTAGCAGCTTGCTTATTTAGTGATATTTAATTGCAGGGAAGGCACGTGTTTTGTGGGCCAGATACCCTGAGATGAGGTCTTGCCTTTCTCAAGTCGCTGTGAATCTGCTGTTGACTTTTAGTGGCTGCAGAATTTAGTATTTCCATGGCTCATGGAATTGAGCTGATCCGGTGAAGCCCTGAGCAGTTTGAGTCCTGGTTGCCTGAAAAGAGTTTGATCTCTGAGTAATGATACAGTAGCGGAAGGCATCTAAGGAGCTTCAGGGAGAAGCTTTGTCTTCAGCTGGGAAGACACCTGTTGGTTTCCAAAGTGTAGTTCTGTACTCAAGACTGTGCTGCTTGTCTCCTGCTCATCTGTAGTTAGACAGTGTGCCTTTGTACGCTACAAAATTATTATTTGTTTGGGCTCTTTGAAGTAGTGGGTTATGAAAGTTTAAAGGGAAGTAAAATAAGGCAGTAATTAGCATAGAACTTTATTATGTTTCGGTTGTCCTTTGTCTTGTGAACAGGCAGTATAGAGTGGGCCTAATGTAGGGAAATAAATGAGGGAGAACTTTCATAAGCATGAATTATTATATAAACGACTGTCTGTTCTGGCAATCTTATGCAGCTGTGTAACCTTGGCAGAGTGGTTTTTAAAGCAACTCCTACCTTATTTTTTCGCATCTGCAAAACGATGACATTAGTGTTTTTCTGCCCGTAGCTTGCAGTGCTTTGGCACTGTGCACGCCCAATCTCTTTGAAAGATCAGTTCACACTAACTTTTCTTGCAAAAGCACTGCCAGACTATTTATAAATTCACTGTGCTTTGAAGCTATGGTAACTGTACTGTTTTCTTCCAGTTGGCTCTGCAGTATGTGTTAGTGGCCAGGGAGCTTGTCCTACTATTAAACACTGTAACATCAGCGACTGTGAAAACGTTGGACTTTACATTACAGACCATGCACAGGTATTTTTCAATATCCATTTCTTTACTGTGATAAAATTGGTTTACTGTTCTTGATTCCCATCTTAATTTACGTTTTTATTTCTTAGGGAATATACGAGGACAATGAGATCTCCAATAATGCATTAGCAGGGATTTGGGTTAAAAACCATGGAAATCCCATTATCAGACGGAACCACATTCACCACGGACGTGATGTTGGCGTTTTCACTTTTGACCATGGCATGGTAATGTATATGTTTTCTTTTAAAGAAAGAAATATAGATGTTCATACCTAAAAGTCTTCAAATTTTGCCTGTCACTGAAGAAATGTTTTTTAAAAGATGCTTTTACATGTCAACAAATACTTTAAAATATGCCTACTGTTCTTCTCTTGCCCTTCAGTGGGCAACTTCAGTTCAAAGACTATTTTAGCTGAAAGAGGTTTGAGCAATCTTTTTGCAGTTGATTGGCAGCCTGTTCCATCGAATTCTGTGGCAGTGACAAAATACCTCTTGAAATAGGATGTAAATGGTAGGCTTACATTTACACTATCACTTCATTCTTTTTCCTTTGAAACAGAACAAAAAATAAGGTGCTGGAAGATTTAAAAATGAAATGATCTGTGGAGACTTACTTAGTCTTATTTTAATGTTAGATCTCTGACACAGGGTAAGTCCAGCTTCTTTGAGAAGAGGACTTTTCTAGCATGGAGGTAGTTGTGCAATTTTAACACAGGATTTTGTTTCAGAATTCAGGCCTTCTTTCATAAAAAAATGTTTATTTTTTGTGGTGTGAAGGTGATAACTTCCATGTACATGCAAAGTGTAGTGAGTAATGAGTTTGTGTAGCCCTTGAAGTAAACAGAATGAATTTTTGCCAGTGAAATAAAAGATTATGATTTGCTGATTTGTTTAGCAAAATATTCTGCATGTCTTCCAAACAGTGCCAAAGTCCCAATTCCCCCCACTCAGCTGGCAAAAATAAGCTGTTTTCTTCTAGTCGCTCTTAAAATGGCAGATCTTTAAGGACTCTTTCTGCAGAGCAGGGGGGTTGGAACTCGATGACCTTTAAAGGTCCCTTCCAACACAAACTATTCTATAATTCTATGAAAATCACAAACATAGAAGTACAAAATATGATCAGAGTATGATGAACTAAATGTCAAACTGAGTAAGGGATGCTGAAGTTCATACTCTTGCTATCAGATCAAGTGTAATGTTCAAAATCCACAGGATTTCAGGTTCCCTTTTGCCTTCACAAAGATATCACAGAATTTACCTTGCTGTGGCCATTGGATACTGCAGGACTTGGATTGCCTATAACTTTGGTTATAGTGAATAATAAACCGTCTAGTCGGTTTGCTTTGGAGGTTGTATTTTAAAAGCTAAGTAGGAATAGATAATATAGATAAGACAGATAAATAGGAAGCTCTTCTCTGGTACTGTAATGAAAACCTCACTGTAATAGACTTGATTTAAGAACTCTGCTGAAGAATGAGTTCAGCCAAACCAGTGCAGGTTTCATGTACTCGGGGATACCAGTGCATATTCCCTTCAATTTGTTTTATTTTCCTTATTACTACCTGGCACACTTCTTGCCTTGCTATGGCTAAATACACACTAGGATTCTTCTTTGGCAAGGCTGTAATTAAAAGGGGTATGTTATATCCACAGATGTTCTTTGCAAGTAAATGTCTTTTATCATCTAAGTAGTAGTTTTGATGGTAGATCTTCTTTAGTCCCGCAGAAAGACAAATAATACTTGTAAAAAAATACATGTAAAAATACAAGCATTAGACACTAGTGGCTTTGGCCCAAAGTCACACTCGTGCAGATGTGGCTTAGGTGTAGACTGGACCTTTGTTTTCTCATTTCAATTTTTTCACCTTATCTTCTGACCTTTGGATCCACCATTCCTTCCATATCCCTCATGCATTTTGTCTTGGTGTCACCCCCCAGACCCTCACCCCCAATTTAGCATGTTCAGAGATCTAACTACAGTAGACATCCATTTTTAACTTTGGCTCATTCAATGCTGACTCCAAGGAAATGATAGTCCAACATTTTTTAAAGTAAACCTATTCCTAAATAAAATATTTATCAATTCAGGTAGTAAATTGCTTTAGCTTTCCTACTGAACTTCTATGTGAGGGTTTTCTACACTTTGTGTGTTGTGTTGGGGAACTCTTGGCTAGGTCTCAGATGCCTAGTGAATAAAATAGTAATCTCCTAATAAGACATTTCTTTGGGGAAATAAATTTCCATAGTTTTGATGAATGGTTAATGCAATTATATAATGCAATTATAGCTAATACATAACACAGCAAGCTTTCAGGAAAAAAAATATATAGTTTTCTTATGGGTATGAGGAAGAAGAGGAGGAGCTGTTTTTTACAGATTGGCATTTTGATCCATGATGGGTGTTTTTAAGCTTACTGAATTGGGGATCTTTTTTTCCCTTTGCTGGATCTCTTTCTTCCCTTGTAAGTACTCATTCTCTTGCTTTACTTCTAACCCAGATCTGGTCAGGTTCTTGATGAGTGTTGGCAGCCTGGAAATAGCATTTACGGAAAATCCACTGCGGATGGGAAGAGGCAAGGCCTTTCTCCTTTCCACCCAGGTTGCTGGGAAGGCAGGAGAGAGGAGCAGGTTCCTACTTTTGGTGGAAGGTAAACAGGGCATGGAGAGCTGTGATTTTTTGCTGCTGGCATAAAATTTTCTTGCCAGTGGAAGGTCAAACGAGGTGGGATTCTGCTCTGTCAGGTGCCTTTTTTCCTCTCTCTTCGTTACATCCTGAGGAGTGTTATTTGTTCTGTGTTGGCCAAGGTTATACCAGCCCAGGAGAATGTCCTTTTAGCCATCTCCTGATGGATTTCTTTACGTCATTTTATATTCTCTAGAAATGTAGTTGTTTAGCCATTTTGCAAAGGGTGCTGGCAAACTGAAGATGTTACGTCTGTGTTTTATATTATCTGATTGTTTGGACACTGCCACTGCGTCATTTAAGCTGTATTAACATACTGTGTAAGCACTCCTAATCAGCTTCAGTGAGTACCTATACATCCCTCCAAGACTTAAACAGGCTCAGAAACGCGTAATGAAGTGGTTTCAGTTATAGAAAATCTGGGAAAGGACAGTGCTTCAGTAACTCCTGGAGGGGTGATATCTGTATGGAGGCTTGAGGGTTAATTGGAAAGTCTGGCAAGGAGCTGCTGCTTGTTTAAGTACTGAAGTATAAATATTAAATATACAAGTACTGAAATATTAAAAAAAAAAAAAAAAAATTAAAAGCCAGACTGAATTCACTTGATTCATTTTAAATAAAAGTGTATTTGATTTATTTTCTTACCAGTGGAATACTTGTTCCAGTGCTGTGATTTCTCCAGTGTGATATCACAGGCAAAATGGAATAGAAATAAATTTTTCTTTTTCTTTTCTTTTTTTGTTTTGTTTAAAGGAAGCACTAGCCCATTAAGGAGAACATGTGAATAATATTTATCTCAGCTGCAAATATTATTGAAATCTTTCTTAGTCATAAACTCCTTTGAAAGATCCGCCCCCCCTTCCATCTCAAAGGCTGCTTTTGGCAGCATTCTCTGTTATGCATCGTGCTGGTGATGGAGTTGATGTAATGACATCATTGGCAACATTTGCATACTCTTTCAGATAAAAATCCTACATACCTAAACAAATTAATGGATTTCCTATGTTCACTGCTCTCGCTTCCCTTCTGTTATTTTTGGGTGTGTAATTTATTTTATTTTTTTTCTTCCTTGTGACTGTGCAGTGGGATAAGTACATTCCAGTGCTGAATTCCTACCCTACACGTTCTCTTCCCGTGGGTTTCTGTGCTGGAGAGCGGGCTCTGAAAGGTTCAAGAGTGTTTTGTCTTTCGGTTTCGTGCTCAGACCGTTCTTTGTGTTTTGATACTTGTAGAAACTTAACCTCTTCTTTCTAAACCGGCAATATTCTGACGTTCACCTTGGTGCTTATGCCAAATGTTTAACAAGCAGACATTAAAAATGCAGTGTGGTCTTGGCAGTGCCTTGTGCTGACCTCTCTTGCCTGTGATGAGTTACCAGACTTTTTTCATAAATTGTATTTACTAGTTGTATGCAGACAACAGATTACTTCCGATTCACCGTAAGGATAAGCATTGTTTTGTAGTTTATAACTGAGATCTAGGCATAAAAGTCTTAATTCTGGTTTCTCCCAGATGAGGAATGTAGCACTGTTGCTTGTTTTTCTTTTTGGTGAAAGAAAATTATAGTAGCATGTGTTTAAGTTGGGTGATTGTGACTAGTTGAAAGCTCAAGCTTTTAAATACTACAAATCAGATAATTTTAAAGAAGTACGTATATAAAGTCCAAAAAATATAAATGAGGCTTGTGCCAGTTTCTATACAGACTGTAATAAAAACTCAGTTGGCCTTTTGCTGCAATAGCAAATTTTTCCTATGCGCTAAAAATAAAGGGTTTGTTTTGCATCTTGAATGTGGTTTTCTTTATGCCGCATTTGGATTTTCATCAAATCCACCAATTCTCAAATAAAGACTATTCCAGGCTTTGGAAGGCAAACTTTTATAACTGTAGCTTTTATGCCATCACTCGCACTTATTATTGCTATTTAATTAAGTTGATACAGAGTCAGATACTCTTTAGCAGTTCATTTCTTTCTATCTTGGTCTCTTGGTTTGTTTGTTTTTCCTTGCCCTGTTAGGAATACAAGTGTCAATATCTATTTAGGAAGTGTTAAAGCTTGCACAACTCTCTCTCTCTTATTTTTCTTTTTTTTTCTTTCTTTTTTAAATACCTTTATTGTCCAAATAATAACATCAGATCTTACCAGGCTGCAGTGGTGTGTTCTTGCCCACACTCTGGAGCTGTCGTCTTGTGCCCACACCTAATGCTTTCCCTGGTATTTTAAATAAATTTGGCATACAAAGCTACTTTTTAGCATTTAGGATTTTTCAAGCAGAAAGCTCCGGCAAAGGTATTTTGAGTCTCTTTACACTTGGTATTCTTGTGTAAGGTTAGAATTTCTTTTTTTCCACTTGCATCCCTTCTTCCTCCTTCTGCCAGTTCACCTGGAAATGTTCCCCAGCGTGTCTGGGGGTGGCTTTGTGGAATCTCTTTTTATTTTCTTTTTTTTTTTCCTTTCCCATAGCTATGCCATATATAAAAACTTGTTTAAATACAGTTTTGTTGTAGGTGTACGACTTTTCTTTTTTTTTTTTCTTTTTTTTTCTTTTCCATAGCTATGCCATGTATAAAAATTCATTTAAATATAGTTTTGTTGTGGGTGTACAACTACTATTGCAGTGTCTAAATGGAAGTGCACACCATTTAAAAAAAGGATGGAGCTGGGTCGGGGGAAGTTTAGCAGTTGGCCACTCAGACCAGTCCAGCCCTGGAAAAATTCCTCATCTCCCACAGCCAGATGTGTTGATTCCAACCAGTCATTTCAAAGAAATTTTGGATGCTTCTCTTCCTAATAAATCCTATTCTTACCGAATATATGGTTCTGGGTCAGAAAAGAAGTAGGTGGTTTTATCCACAGCGCTGTCCTGTACTGGATCTGTGGGCATTATGGCCTTTTGAAAGGAGTCTGATCCTTAGGAGCTGCTCAGGAAACCTGATATTTCCTCCTCTTTGAGCTGCTATATCCAGAGTTTCTGGTTTTTTTTCTTGGTATTCCATGGGTATTGATAAACAGCAATGCAAACAGAGTGTCCTTAAAACAGTATTTTATTTCTGGGGGGATGGTTCTGGGTCAGAAAAGAAGTAGGTGGTCTTTTCCATAGCACTGTCCTGTATTCTTTGAGCTGCTATATCCAGAGTTTCTGGTTTTTTTTCTTGGTATTCCATGGGTATTGATAAACAGCAATGCAAACAGAGTGTCCTTAAAACAGTATTTTATTTCTGGGGGGAGATACAGTGACAGTAGCTATTTTAATTCACTATATCGCTATTTACATATTGTCAGTTTGGGTCCTATTTCCTTTTAAATCAGGATTATATTTCAAGGGGAGGGAGGGGAGGGAATAACCTTCATTTTTAAAAGGACTTTTACAGGAAACTGCATGTTTTGCGTCCTCAGGGTTATTTTGAAAGCTGCAACATACACAGGAACAGGATAGCAGGTTTTGAAGTGAAAGCCTATGCCAATCCGACGGTGGTTCGGTGCGAAATCCACCACGGCCAGACCGGAGGGATCTACGTGCATGAAAAAGGAAGAGGACAATTCATAGAGAACAAAATCTATGCAAACAATTTTGCAGGCGTTTGGATTACCTCAAACAGCGACCCAACAATAAGGTACCGTTTTCCTACTTCAAAGAAAAGATTTGATGGGGATGGGAAAAGTGCAGTTTTATTTCATTTATTTATAATGAACTATAAATACCCCCGTATACATAAAAACGTGATTTCTGTCTGCGTCTGGTTAAACTGCATTTTTAGTTTGCAGGTGTACTTGGAAGTGTGTATTTCTCAAAATGATAGAATGTAAATTCTCTATTTTAAATCTGAATATTGTCCAGTCCTTGACACTACAGACATGTAGAGTGTTGTACAGTGTATTATAATCATTCCGTAACGTGGCAACTCTCGTTTCTTAGGGGCAATGCAATTTTTAATGGGAATCAAGGTGGTGTTTATATCTTTGGTGATGGACGAGGCCTTATTGAAGGAAATGACATTTACGGTAAGCTAATTTGCGTGTTGCATCTTGAATTCTGAGAAAAATGGGTATGTAAGTTGTATTAAATAACATTTTTGTTACCAGGTAACGCGTTAGCAGGAATACAGATCCGAACAAACAGCTGTCCCATCGTTCGACACAACAAGATACACGATGGTCAACATGGAGGGATTTATGTAGTGAGTATTACCTACAAATAGGCATAAAAACCTGTTTTCTCTTCATATGAAAGTTAGAAAAGAGTACTCCATGCAAAATGTTTGATTGTACTTAAGATGACTGAGTTTCTCACATTATAAACGAGGTTAATTGTACTAGAGTGAAGCTGGTGCTGTTATTTAAAAGATGAAGTCTCTTACGAATGTCACTAAATTATTTCTATTGCAGAGTAAAAGATTTAAAATGGGATAGATGACGGATTTTCAGCTTTTCTTGGTTAAAAGCTTTTTAAAGATTTAGTTTTCATAGTAGTCTGTCATCATTTAGAGAGAAAAAATAATTAGAAATCTATTCAGCTTTTTTTGAGTGTAATGTGTTTACCACTAACCTTAGAAAACATATTTATTTTTTTTGCCTTCAGGATGATACAGGTTGCAACTGCTGTACGGTCGTGTATTGTAAAAGTGAGGAATAAAGCCCAATTCCCAGCATGTGCAGGGGCTCTGCTAATTGAACTGAAAGAGCTCTCAGGTTCCCTTAAACAATATCAGATTTTTTTAAAGAAATATTTGCCTTATCTTTCTGCCAGAAGTCACCTGAGGCCCAGCTGATGCTGCAAGTGATGTGGCTTCTTCGGGTCCTTCTGTAAATGAGCTTTCCCTGACCCATTGCGTTACTTTTAAGCACAAACACGTGGTAAAAATAGTTATTTTAAGAGAAACACCAATTTTTTGTCAGTCTGGTGGACAAGGCTGGGTGTAGGTTTAAGTGCCAGGAACCAGAGCTTTCATCTGGTGGCCCTGGGGAAGGTGCCTCTTCTACCAACAGCCAGCAGAGATTGGCAAAAATACTCCTGCAGACCTTGAAATATCATCATGTGACATGCAGAGCGCTCTTCATTTCGTGGCAAACATTCAAAATCATGACGTACTGCTATTTAAAAATAATAAAAAAAAAAGTTAAAATATGCACTGAAATAGAAAAGAATGACTTTGCTACAGTAAAGAAGCCACGGAGGGACGTGCACTGCCAGAACAAGGGTATTGACAGATAAAGGGTTTTCTCAACTCTGAAATTATCTTGTATTTAGCATGAAAAAGGACAAGGCGTGATCGAAGAAAATGAAGTTTACAGCAATACTTTGGCTGGAGTCTGGGTGACAACGGGCAGCACCCCAGTCCTGAGGAGGAACAGGATACACAGTGGGAAACAAGTGAGTTTTGCTCCACAGTTACAGGAGGGGGCATAGAGAAAAAAATTCTTCAGGGGTTTTATACTTCATTACTTTGGAACTAATCATTTAACTCTCGATGTGTCAGGTCGGAGTTTACTTTTATGACAATGGACATGGCGTGTTAGAAGACAATGACATCTATAACCACATGTACTCAGGGGTTCAGATAAGGTAAAATGTATTTTTATTTTATATCAAAGCAGACATTTTTTTGTGTCTTTTAAACTGTTCGAAACAAGTGAGTTTTGCTCCACAGTTACAGTTACAGGAGGGGGGCTGTAGAGAAAAAAAGTTCTTCAGTGGTTTTATACTTCATTACTTTGGAACTAATCATTTAACTCTCGATGTGTCAGGTCGGAGTTTACTTTTATGACAATGGACATGGCGTGTTAGAAGACAATGACATCTATAACCACATGTACTCAGGGGTTCAGATAAGGTAAAATGTATTTTTATTTTATATCAAAGCAGACATTTTTTTGTGTCTTTTAAACTGTTCTTGTTTTGTTTCTAAAAATAACTTTTTTTAAATCTGTTATGTCTGAATATCCTCTGCTTCAAATTATGAGTAAACTTTTACTAATAGAGCCTGATATCAAGAAGAATGTGTAGCCCTTGAAGTCTGTAAAGCTAAAATCTGTTTGCATGTATGGAAATAACTGTATTTTAGTAAGATTTTTTTAAGCAGTGAGATCTGTGGGGCTCTTTTATAGAGGTATTTTAAACATTTGGCCTTGGGAGGTAGTAAACTGTTTAAAATCATTTAATTTAAATGATTTCTTCACTTACGTTTTCCTCTAGAACTGGAAGCAACCCCAAAATTAGACGCAACAAGATCTGGGGCGGTCAGAACGGTGGAATTCTTGTCTATAATTCTGGTAGGTTTGTTTTTCACCTTTATCCAGAATTGTTCCTGTTCTGCATTATTATCTCTTCCTGTTTATTATCCGGTTTGATTTTTAATTTTTTTTTTCCCCACCCTTCCTTCAATTTTAGGCCTTGGATTTATAGAAGACAATGAAATTTTTGATAATGCCATGGCTGGCGTGTGGATTAAAACAGACAGTAATCCTACACTAAGAAGAAATAAAATCCATGATGGAAGAGATGGAGGCATCTGCATATTTAATGGGGGAAGAGGTAGGTTTTTTTCCCTTACTGGCATATACTGAATATTCTGGATAAGAGTTTTAATTTCCGATTAAGCTGTGTCCTTTTTCAAGTGCTTTTTAGAAACCTAGCTCTTGTCTTCTGAAGTAATAAAATAGTTACAACGAACGTACACTGAGGCTTTTTAGCCTTAATTACATCAGTAATAGTGAAATCCGTGGGAGGCAGGGAGGTAATTAATCTCATCCGAGATGACTGTTAAATTGCTGCTTAGGACAGGCCTTTCATCCCATCTGCCTCTGCGAGCTTTGCCCTTTGACTGAAAGACAGGGTTGGATTCCAGTCCTGCAGCCAAAATCCTGCATCTGAACCGTTCAGGTTCTGCCGATGTCAAAGATTTTGGGGAGGAAAAAAAGATCTGTAAGAAATCTCTTTGGAAGTTAGCAGTGGTCCTCCTCTGAAATCCCTCATCTGTTGTGGGTCCCGCTCTCAGTTTCCGACGTTTTGTGGATAATCACTTGCTGTAAATGAGCTTTTATTTTAAGTTAAGCATTCTGAAATAGTCAGGAACAGAAATGCCAGTTTAGCTTTGCTCTGGCAGGCTGCTCGCTTTAGAAGGCAAGAACAGAAAGATGTTAAAAAAATTTGAAGAAAAACTCCAAAAGCGATAAGACTTAGTGTTTCCTCAAAAAATAAAACGGAGTTTTCTGTAATGGTGAGTACGATCCCAAATTCTGTTCTGTGGCCTGAAAAAATACATGATTCTACCCTCAGAATGACTTCAAACTTGTGTGGCTGACTTCAGTGCTGGGGGGTGGGGGAGGTGTGTGTGTTCCCCAAATGAAAGGAATTGGGAAGATGATGGTATGTGAGATCTTGTGAAAACTATTTCCTGGGATGGGGAGCTTTCACACAAGTTCAGATGTTGCATTTTTGGTCTGTCAGGTCTTCTGGAGGAGAACGACATCTTCAGGAACGCTCAAGCCGGTGTCCTCATCAGCACCAACAGCCACCCTGTGCTAAGGAAAAATCGAATATTCGATGGATTTGCTGCAGGTTTGTGGGGTTTAAATCAAATTTTGCTCTTTATATCAAATTAGTGCTCTTCCCAAAGCTGAACTCTTGAGTTTCTTTACCCCCCAGTATTTAGACATTTTAGCAGAGATCGGGATATCCTTCTGTGAGTTCTAGACATCATTAGAGAATTCAGAATTGTGGCCAGAATATCTTCACAGCAGCCTCAGGAGTTCCTCACCTCTTGAGAAACAGCACATATGCTGCCTTCTTGTTTTCCTCTGAAATAACTTTTCATTGTTTTATTTCAGAACTAATTGATAAAATTGTCCAGGACGTATTTATAGCTGATCTGCTGGATGCTGGTTTGAATATTTTCTCACTGCTTTTAAAACATCAGAAACAGAGTAAATAGACATCTTAAAGAGATTTGAATTGCATCTCAAGTTCAGCTTTCTCACTTGAAAAATTGTACTTGTTACTCCGAGAGTGGTGAAGAATGTTTTGTAGTGATTTTTGTGCGATTTAAGGATGGCAGTTCCGTAGGTCTTGCGTTTCATTCCCTTTTCTCAAGTTCAGCTTTCTCACTTGAAAAATTCTTAAAATGAGCACTTCTTACTCCCAGAGAGGTGAAGAATGTTTTGTAGTGACTTTTGTGCGATTTAAGGATGGCGGTTCCGTAGGTCTTGCTTTCCATTCCAACTAAAATTGCATTCCTGAGTTTTCTCCTGTCTGTCTTTCAGAAGAAGTGAGTTTTCTGAGAAGGTGTTTTTTTGGGGTGTGGGGAGGGGTGTGGAAAGGAAGGGTTGTTGAGAGCAGGCCTGGACGAATGACTGGGAAGACACTGGTTACTGATAGAAAGCTGAGATTTAAAGACATGAATTTTAGGTGCCCACCTTGAGAACTCTTTTTTGGAAAAAGCTGTTTTGAAGAGGGTAAGGTACGTGCACAAGAACTTCTGAATGCACGTGAAGGTGCTTTAAGCATCCAAAAATCCTATCGCCTTGAAAAATCCAAGATCCTAGTTTTAATATCAGATAAACTAGTAGCATGTTGTTACCCCCAGAAACCACGCACAGCAGCGGTACCTCTTTGAAAGGATTCAAGAGAAGGATTTGAACCTCAGATTTTACAGCAAATTCCAGTGCCATACCTAGTGATGTCCTTTTCCTTTTTTCCCCATGAATTTATGATGCTTTAAAAAAACACCCAAACAAACTATAGGTCACGGGAGAGCTACAAACGTGCCCCACCTGAGGATTTAACGTCCCCAATTTCTTTTCTCTCCTTTGTTCCCCTGCCCCAATGAAGGTATCGAGATAACAAATCACGCCACGGCGACGTTGGAAGGCAATCAGATCTTCAACAACCGCTTCGGGGGTTTATTTCTAGCATCCGGGGTCAACGTCACGATGAAAGGTGAGTCGGAGCCTCAGCCCTCATCAGGGGCATTGGGTCACTTTGCATTTATTTATTTGCTGCTGGGTTTAGGGTTTATCGTACCCGTTTTTCCCATTTTTGGCTCAGATTTCATACCGCCTTAAGTTGAGCTGTAACTTAATTTTCAGCTTCAGGTAATAAGCTTAGTTAAACTGTCCTAGATTTTTAGACAGTCAGACACTTTCAAAGGGAACTTAAGGTTTTCCTTTCATATTAAAACTCTGTTATTGGCTCTTCTGTCTCAAAATTAGTTTTGAACCGGTTGCTGGTCTTTGGCACATCTCAAATTCCAATTCTAAGTTAGAAGGGAAGGTCTTTTGTCAGATACCTGAAAACAAGTGTCCAGCAAAGAAACACACCCCACTTGGCTTTTAGGATGTAAAAGTGTGAATATTGACAATCCTAAATGACTTTATTCAGAAAATAGGAGCAGTTTATATAGAATTCCCAGGTATAGTGAGGGCCTGAGGTCCTGTTCATGAGACAGGATCCTCTTGGAGGAGATTGGAGCGCTGGTTTGAAGGTCAGAGAGCTCTCCAGGAGCTTATTCTAGAAGTTCCTTATTCTTCTAGAAGTTCCAGGAGTTCCTTATTCTAGCAGGAAAAACATTCAGTTTGCAAAATTTTCCCCTGCCTGGCTGGATTTTTTAAGCTTTTCCCTTCTTTACACCACTTAAAAGACAATTTCTGGCTCCCTGACCGCACCAGTGGGTGCTGTGGTGCTACTGGGAGCGGACACTTACAGGTTTAGCTCTTAAAAAGGATGGGGGGAAGAGGGGGGCTTTACTTTAACACCTCAAGAAAAAAAAAAAAGTCATTGATGGGGGTGTGATTAGTTCTTGGCTTTGTTTTTTCCTCCTATAGAATTCCCAGGTATAGTGAGGGCCTGAGGTCCTGTTCATGAGACAGGATCCTCTTGGAGGAGATTGGAGCGCTGGTTTGAAGGTCAGAGAGCTCTCCAGGAGCTTATTCTAGAAGTTCCTTATCTTCTAGAAGTTCCAGGAGTTCCTTATTCTAGCAGGAAAAACATTCAGTTTGCAAAATTTTCCCCTGCCTGGCTGGACTTTTTAAGCTTTTCCCTTCTTTACACCACTTAAAACACAATTTCTGGCTCCCTGACTGCACCAGTGGGTGCCGTGGTGCTACTGGGAGCAGACACTTACAGGTTTAGCTCTTAAAAAGGATGGGGGGAAGGAGGGACTCTGCTTTAACACCTCAAGAAAAAAAATAAAAGTCATTGATGGGGGTGTGATTAGTTCTTGGCTTTGTTTTTTCCTCCAACAGATAACAAAATAATGAACAATCAAGATGCCATAGAGAAAGCTGTCAGCAGAGGCCAGTGTTTATACAAGATCTCAAGCTACACCAGCTACCCCATGCATGACTTCTACAGGTAACAACAGCTTCTTTGTCCTCACCTACAGCAAAGGCTTCAAATAAACACAAGTTCCAGCTTGTGCCTGTTGCCCCTTGTCCTGTCACTGGTCACCATTGAGATGAGCCTGACCCCATCCTCTTGACACCCACCCGTTGGATATTGATAAGCATTGATTAGATCCCTCCTCAGCCTTCTCTTCTCCAGGCTAAAAAGACCCAAATCCCTCAGCCTTTCCTCGTAAGGGAGATGTTCTAGTCCCCTCATCATCTTCATAGCCCTTTGCTGTCCCCTCTCCAGCAGTTCCCTCTTGTTCTGGAAGTGGGGAGCCCAGAACTGGACACAGTGCTCCAGATGGGGCCTCACCAGGGAAGGTAGGAAGGGAGGATGACCTCCCTTGACCTGCTGGTCACACTCTTCTTGGTGCACCCCAAGAGAGGACTGGCCACCTTGGCCCCAAGAGCGCATTGCTGGCTCATGGTCAACGAGCCAGCAGAAATGTGAGCTTGTCCTCAGCTCAGTGGAGGAGGATTCCATCAACTATGGGCTTGAGGCAAATGTCTTGTTCCTATGAACCTGGGTCTGAGTCCAGCAGAACTGCTTTTGTGAAACAGGCAACCAAAAGTATGCCCTGAAATCCGAGTTCATGTAAAATTCTCAAGTTTTATGGTGTTGTCCACGTCCTTTCCTTGTGCTGTTGGGGCTGGATGGGGCTTGGAGCAACATGGTCTAGCGGGGAGGTGTCCCTGCCCACGGCAGGGGGGTTGGAACTCCATGATCTTGAAGGTCCCTTCCAACCTGAGCCATTTTATGATTCTATTGTGCCCTCACACCCCCCTGAGCCCTTCTCTCAGGTTTTGATCCATGCCCTAACATGCTGCCTCTTCCTTCAGATGTCACACCTGCAACACCACGGACCGTAACGCCATCTGTGTGAACTGCATCAAGAAGTGCCATCAAGGACACGACGTAGAGTTCATTAGACACGATAGGTGGGTTCCCAGAGCCTCCCTCCAGCCCTTCCCACAGAACAACCAACAGCACAAACTAAAAGAATTCTCTTTTCTTTAGAGTTCATTAGACACGATAGGTGGGTTCCTAGAGCCTCCCTCCAGCCCTTCCCACAAAACAACCAACAGCACAAACTAAAAGAGTTCTCTTTCTCTGTAGGTTTTTCTGTGACTGCGGTGCTGGGACGCTGTCGAACCCCTGTACGCTCGCCGGAGAGCCTACGCACGATACAGATACACTATATGACTCTGCTCCACCTATAGAATCTAATACATTGCAGCACAACTGAATTCCTTTCAGAAAGAAAGTCCTGCCATTCTAATCTCCTAACTGTTCAAACCTTTTCTTTTTTTGGAGGAAGTTTTACTTGCCCATTTCTGCAGAAAGAGACTGTGTTAAAGCGGATGATGTGTGAGGTGGTGACACTATGGAGCTCAACCTACCAAAAAAGAAAGTGGCAATATGTTGACTCAGGATACCAGAACTGGGCGTTTTAGCATTACTGTGTAAAAACAAACAAAACAAAAAAACCAACCAACAAAATAAACCAACCAATAAAAACAAAGACTTTGAAGGGACAGAAGTGAAGAAAAAAAAAAAACACAAAAAAACCAACAAAACGAAACAAAATAAGCTGCAATTTTGTACAGATACCAACTTCTGAGAGCTGGTGTTTTTACAAGTAGCATTGAGCCGCAGTCCGATTTGCAGTAGTTACTATTCTGTAGACAAGCAGCATTCTTTGTTGCTGCCTTTATGGACATGGGTACCAATTGCTTTTTGTAACATGGTTAAAAAGAAAAAAAGAAAAAAAAAAACCACAAAAAAAAACCCACAAAAAAAAAAAAAACGTGAGCTAGCACTTCTGCATTTCTTTTTTTGATTTTTTAACATTTATTCAGATTGAGAAATATGATTTTAATGCTTTAATCTCATGTAGTTTGTTTCTAATTTCAAGCAAAAAAAAAAAAACCCAACTCTTATTGTACTTGAATGTGTCCTGTTTTGTTAGCACACCTAGACTTGCTGTAACTGTACTCATGTCCCAGTATGTACGTTCTTTCTATGAAAGAGAAAACACTAATCTTAAATTATATCCAGCAATTTTTCTGGTGTCCTCTGAAGTTAGAATAATCTCCTTCCCCTGCCCCAGCAATAGTCTGTACTCAAACCACCCTAACAAAAACGACAGAAACAAACAAAAGCGAGTGTTTTAATGAGACTTCCTAGACTATAATGCACTATAAAACAAAGTACCCATATGTAACTAAAGTTTTGTGAATGAAATTTTACTATGTTTTAAAGTACACGGTAGAAAGTCTCCTCAAAACAGTCTTGTACTTTTACTCTGTTCATAGTTTTTTTTGAACAGTCTGGACATTTACTTAACGTAACCTGCTGGAAATCACAGCAATTTCCTGCTCTAATGAAGCTGAGACAAGTATATATACAGCCCTATACAGTTTCATAGCTTTTTTCCATTTATGTGTATTGGTGACAGTGGGTAATCAACAGCCTGAAAGTGTATGCATGTACCATAACATCTAGACTTAATATATTGTGGAGTACTCAATAACCATTATGTAGAGGGTAGGTTAAGAATTAAAGGGTTTAATTTCCTAGGAAAGACAATGGAAAAATGGTCATTTTTAAAAAATAAAGTTTATTAGATCATAACGTTGGCTGATACCACCTTTTTGAGAAGGCGCCCAGAGGGTTTTTAAAAAATAAAGTTTATTAGATCATAATGTTGGCTGATACCACCTTTTTGAGAAGCTGCCCGGAGGGAGGTGCTGGTCTCCTCACAGGTGATGGATCATCTCCTCACAGGTGATTGATCATCATCTCCTCACAGGTGATTGATCATCTCCATGAGTTTCTGAACGGCGTCGGCGTCGCGTGTTGCGCCGTCCACCACCAGGCAGAGATACCTACAGGAAACCACAGACTCAGGGGTCTGGTACAACCCAAACCTTGTCCCCCCCAGCGCCCCTCCCATTCACACACCCCTTCCCTTGGGCTCAGCCCAGCAACCTCCAAGCAAATGGAGATGTAGACACTGGCACAGCCACCCGAGGTGCAAAATACCCCATTACTCATCCCCTCTGCCCTCCTGCAGTCGGGTTTTAGTGCTTCCCTCCCTCCCTCTTTGTGAAATACCATAGACACGATAGGTGGGTTCCTAGAGCCTCCCTCCAGCCCTTCCCACAAAACAACCAACAGCACAAACTAAAAGAGTTCTCTTTCTCTGTAGGTTTTTCTGTGACTGCGGTGCTGGGACGCTGTCGAACCCCTGTACGCTCGCCGGAGAGCCTACGCACGATACAGATACACTATATGACTCTGCTCCACCTATAGAATCTAATACATTGCAGCACAACTGAATTCCTTTCAGAAAGAAAGTCCTGCCATTCTAATCTCCTAACTGTTCAAACCTTTTCTTTTTTTGGAGGAAGTTTTACTTGCCCATTTCTGCAGAAAGAGACTGTGTTAAAGCGGATGATGTGTGAGGTGGTGACACTATGGAGCTCAACCTACCAAAAAAGAAAGTGGCAATATGTTGACTCAGGATACCAGAACTGGGCGTTTTAGCATTACTGTGTAAAAACAAACAAAACAAAAAAACCAACCAACAAAATAAACCAACCAATAAAAACAAAGACTTTGAAGGGACAGAAGTGAAAAAAAAAAAAAAAAACACAAAAAAACCAACAAACCGAAACAAAATAAGCTGCAATTTTGTACAGATACCAACTTCTGAGAGCTGGTGTTTTTACAAGTAGCATTGAGCCGCAGTCCGAGTTGCAGTAGTTACTATTCTGTAGACAAGCAGCATTCTTTGTTGCTGCCTTTATGGACATGGGTACCAATTGCTTTTTGTAACATGGTTAAAAAGAAAAAAAGAAAAAAAAAAACCACAAAAAAAAACCCACAAAAAAAAAAAAACGTGAGCTAGCACTTCTGCATTTCTTTTTTTGATTTTTTAACATTTATTCAGATTGAGAAATATGATTTTAATGCTTTAATCTCATGTAGTTTGTTTCTAATTTCAAGCAAAAAAAAAAAAACCCAACTCTTATTGTACTTGAATGTGTCCTGTTTTGTTAGCACACCTAGACTTGCTGTAACTGTACTCATGTCCCAGTATGTACGTTCTTTCTATGAAAGAGAAAACACTAATCTTAAATTATATCCAGCAATTTTTCTGGTGTCCTCTGAAGTTAGAATAATCTCCTTCCCCTGCCCCAGCAATAGTCTGTACTCAAACCACCCTAACAAAAACGACAGAAACAAACAAAAGCGAGTGTTTTAATGAGACTTCCTAGACTATAATGCACTATAAAACAAAGTACCCATATGTAACTAAAGTTTTGTGAATGAAATTTTACTATGTTTTAAAGTACACGGTAGAAAGTCTCCTCAAAACAGTCTTGTACTTTTACTCTGTTCATAGTTTTTTTTGAACAGTCTGGACATTTACTTAACGTAACCTGCTGGAAATCACAGCAATTTCCTGCTCTAATGAAGCTGAGACAAGTATATATACAGCCCTATACAGTTTCATAGCTTTTTTCCATTTATGTGTATTGGTGACAGTGGGTAATCAACAGCCTGAAAGTGTATGCATGTACCATAACATCTAGACTTAATATATTGTGGAGTACTCAATAACCATTATGTAGAGGGTAGGTTAAGAATTAAAGGGTTTAATTTCCTAGGAAAGACAATGGAAAAATGGTCATTTTTAAAAAATAAAGTTTATTAGATCATAATGTTGGCTGATACCACCTTTTTGAGAAGCTGCCCGGAGGGAGGTGCTGGTCTCCTCACAGGTGATGGATCATCTCCTCACAGGTGATTGATCATCATCTCCTCACAGGTGATTGATCATCGCCGTGAGCTTCTGAACGGCGTCGGCGTCGCGTGTTGCGCCGTCCACCACCAGGCAGAGATACCTACAGGAAACCACAGACTCAGGGGTCTGGTACAACCCAAACCTTGTCCCCCCCAGCGCCCCTCCCATTCACACACCCCTTCCCTTGGGCTCAGCCCAGCAACCTCCAAGCAAATGGAGATGTAGACACTGGCACAGCCACCCGAGGTGCAAAATACCCCATTACTCATCCCCTCTGCCCTCCTGCAGTCGGGTTTTAGTGCTTCCCTCCCTCCCTCTTTGTGAAATACCACTATTTTTGTCAATATTGAACATAACTGGGAGGAAAAGCCCCTGTCCCCATTTCCAGATGGACACCTGCGATGAAAAAACCGATAAGCTGAGGCCTTACCTAAATACTCTCAGTGAAACGGTCACTTTTTCAAACTCTTTAGCTTTTCTGTGCCCCTTCTGAATAACTTCCTCAGGAATATTGGCCAGTCGCGCCGCGTTGAAGCCGTAGCTCTTGGGACACGCTCCTTCAATGAACTTGTAGAGGAAGGTAATTGTTTCCTGGCTTGGGTCTTCACTCTCGTTTTCAACCATGCAGGCCTAGAAAGAGTTAAGTTGCAAATCAGTGCATGGAATAGTCACCTTTAGACTAAAAAGTGCATGAAATAATCTGTTCCTGTTCTTGGGACCCCTCTGTGAGGCTGGGCAGGAGATGTGCCAGCCACAACAGGAGAGCTGGGGAGGGCTCTTGATCAGGGAGTGGGGTGATAGGATGAGGAGGAATGGTTTTAAGCTGAAAGAGGGGAGATTTAGATGAGATGTTGGGAAGAAATTCTTTGCTGTGAGGGTGGTGAGACACTGGAACAGGCTGCCCAGAGAAGCTGTGGCTGCCCCATCCCTGGAGGTGTTCAAGGCCAGGCTGGATGGGGCTTGGAGCAACCTGGTCTGGTGGGAGGTGTCCCTGAAGTGGATGGTCTTTAAGGTCCCTTCCAACCTGAATCATTGTGATCTTCCTGCCACGAGGAAGTACCACGGACACGTACCATGTGGCCGAGCCGCACGGCCGCGGTGTGTGCGTGATCCTCCACCAGGGAGTGGTAGTGTGTGGAGAACAGCGTCCGGCACCGGATTTTCTCCGCCAGTTCCTTCACAACCGCGCTTGCGATGGCCGTTCCGTCAAAAGTAGCTGTCCCTCTGCCTGAAAAAGAAGTAGAAAAACAAAAATATTTGCTGCCTATCAATTTGCCTTGCTTTGTTCTTCCCCCCTCCTCCTCACGTGGCAGCTGGCCACACGGCAGCAAGCTGGTGGCCGTCACTGCAGCAGGGCGCAGTGACCAAGGTATTTGCCCCCACGACAGTCACACTCCCTTCTGAGCTGCAGAAAAAGACATTTCTGCTCATTTGAGACTTGTTCAAGGTTTGCTGCAATTAACTGCCACCCTCTGCCTGAAAAAGAAGTAGAAAAACAAAGATAAATGTTTTACTGCGTATCAATTTGCCTTGTTTGCCCCCACGACAGTCACACTCCCTTCTGAGCTGCAGAAAAAGACATTTCTGCTCATTTGAGACTTGTTCAAGGTTTGCTGCAATTAACTGCCACGGAAAACTCAGCCAGAAATAGGCCAATAACAATTTGGGGGGGGTTTGAGCTGCAGAAAAAGACATTTCTGCTCATATGAGACTCGCTCAAGGTTTGCTGCAATTAATTGCCAAGGAAAACTCAGCCAGAAATAGGCCAATAACAATTTGGGGGGGGTTGTATTAGTTTCCAGGGCACCTAAAAAAACCATGTTTTTTTAAAGAGAGATTTACATAGCTACTGAGCAGTTAAAACAGTAGCAACATTAAGATGAATTACTCCTGTGCACTTGGTTGCTGCCCAGCAGCCAGTCTTTAATCTGGGATTTAATTCCCATCTATTACCAAATGGGCTAATTACCCAGTTCATCCACAAGAACAAGGGAGTGCTGTGTTGCGTGCTGGAGGATGCTGGAAGTCTCGCTCAGCTCAACAAAGAAGGTACTTTCACCTTTAAAAGAAACAAGAGACACGAAGGATTAGTCAAAAAGATCCGAAAAGCACAACTCAAACCCCACTGAATCTGCACTCAGCCTCAGTCAAGCTAAAATGAAGCTCCAGAGCAAACTAATCATCAACAAAAACATAAGGCTTTCTTCCAGCATGAAAATGGTGGGGTCCCCTTTGCCAGAAAAATCACGGTTTGGTTCCTTAAAGAGCAAGAGTACAGTCACAAATATAATTAATTAAGTATCTTAAGTTTTAGGCCACCATATCTGTCTACTTTGAATAGTCCTTTTCATATTTTTTGTCAGCTGGACAAAGAGAGGGGCACAAAGGATTCGAGCTGGGCACAATCTTTTGTCCCTTCTCTTAAATACACAAGGCAGCCTGGGGTGTGCGGCTCTCCAGGGTGGAAAAGCAAGAAAATCTTAAAAAAAAAATAAAAATACAAGCCTTAAGAGACCAGATTTACTGGTTTGGTTGTTGATGGCATAAGGTAATGAATTATTCAGATAACTAAGGCTGTGCTGGAGTGAAATATAGCAAAAGAAAGATACTGCTGCTCAGGACTGACCATCCCGCAGGAGTTCCGGGTACCAGATAACACAAAGCTTGAAATTCTGACCTGAAACTGTTTTTTTTAGCAGATTACAAGCAGCAATTAATGTGATTTCAGAGCAGAGAAGTATTTACTTCCCACACTCAGGCTCTAACACCATTTTTCCAACATAAGCAGCATCCAGCAATCCTGATTTTCTGCATTTATTTA